TGCCGCCCCCCGCGGGCGGCGGCGCCCGCCCCCGTTTGCCCCCTCGGCGATCCCGTTGCCCCCCTGCTTATGCAAAACCGCCTCTGGCTTCGCCGTCGCGCTGTTGCGGAGTGCTTACGCGCTCGAGCCGGGTACGCTCTTTTAGCGTGCTTACATTCAGGGTCAAGGCAAGCTGGCATTAACGATACGCTGATTAACACATTTTTAATACGGAGATGTTACAGGCTCTGTTTTGGCTCCCGTGGATATGCTCCTACAGCGGGTGAAGCAAATGGACTATGCATTGCTACTTTTTAACTTCTCTAAAATAGTTTAATTCTCTATTAATACATTTAATGTTAACGAACATGAAACACTGAATTTCTGTGTTCATTAACACTTCATATCCATAAAGCTATTGTCCCGTAAGTATAGGAAAAGGGAAATAAGTATGCCACTACAAACTGTAAAACAATAGCCCTAGGGTCTCTACATTACACAACCTCTTATACTGTGAAACATTAAGAGCAGTCTTTATCAGAGTCCAATACTCTCTGACCTGGTTTTTTTTTTCAGATACTCCATGCGCGGAGGGTGTAGTGTTTAATATCAAATATACTTATTTCAAGACAGTTGATGTTGCATAGGATGTCTGATTTAGGGAGTGATACAAAATATGCTGAAATCACAATTACAAATGCAAGTTACACTTAGTAAAATACACAGCGATTGCAACACACGGTTCAGTCACAATACCGACGTGATTCCCGGTCTCTGTAACGCGCTCACCGTCACCACGCCAGGCGCCTCCAGGGAGGAATACGTGGGCTGAAGCCAGCTCAAGCTCGTTGCTCTCTTGGAAATATTTTTGCTAGTTGTTGGATTTTTATGCTCTATGTTAAGCAGAGCCACACCTTCCCTTCCCTTCCCTTCCCTTCCCTTCCCTTCCCTTCCCCCCCTCCCCCGGTCTGCTAACTCAAGAGACACTTTAGCACGCCTATAGTGAACACGGGGAGAAACATTTGCACCACCTGTTGATCCGCTCAACTGCTGATAGCTGTTCAGCGGAAACAAGGCCACCCTCCGGCCCCCGTTGTGTTGAGATACAGTCAGCCTCTTTCCAACAGCTGTGGTCAGTCACAGCCCGCGTATTTCCCGAGCTTCATGGGCTCATTCCTCTTGCCCATCTCCTCTGAGCATTCTTCCATTGTAGGGGTTTGCTGGTCAGTCACAGTCTTGGATCCTTTTCTTGTGTGAAGAAAGTATAGCAGGCTCTATAGAGAAATTAAAATATTTA